TTCCCCTAAATGTTGAAATTTCATGTTGTACTTGAAAGCAGTAGTCAAGCCTGGATATGGGAGAATTCTCGTAGTCTCACCAGTTTGTCAAAGATTTCACATTACATTTTTGAATTTTATTGCAGTTTTGTCTCTCAAAACCGTTTAGTGTGCTGACTAGATTTAAGAGAAACACATGATTAGCAGTGTAAAATACTTAAGACTGGATATCCATCCCAAGACACTTTTTGTTAGATTTCTAGAGTTAAAATATAAAATTGAAGTTGTGTAGAAAATCATTATGGAGATGCAAGAAAATGAGTAGTCAGCCAAAGTATAAACTTTCAAGACACTGCTGGTGTGGAAATTACTTAATATGAAAGTAAAAGAGTACATTTCACGGGCTGCCTAATATACTGTTTATTTCAAAATGTTAAAGGTTCATGTTGCACTTTAAAGCGGTTGCCAAGTCTGGATTTGGAAGAATTCTACTAGTTATTCTTGAACTTTATTACTATTGTCTTACATATCAGTAAAAAGCCTTAGTCTGCTAAGTACATTCAAGAGAAATGTGTCAGCCAAAATTTGAAATACTGAAGACTGGATATACTTTGAGTTGCATCTTTTTTCCTTTTCCTGAAGACTGTAAGGAGCTATTTGCATGTTAAGTAAAGTTCAACTTAATTATTATTATTTTTTACTCAAAATAACATATGGTTTTAAAATGTCTAATTCTGTATAGTGTTGTTGAATTCACTTAAATTCATGTAAGTGTGCTTTAAGAATGTTGTCTGTAGAACAGAGTACCATTAAGGGTGTTGTTTTTTGTTTGTTTTTAACATTTGCTAACCCTGTTTTAATTTTATTTTGTGAAGCAACCACTACAAATTTGTGTTTAAGAAACTAAGAATGGTATGCTGCTGTTTTAGTTTTTTTTTAAATAATGTAATTACCCTGTTTTAGTAAGCCAGTGTTAACATGTAAGCCTAAATTGTCTTTGTTCAAATACAGTTTGATTGAAACGCATGAAAAATGTTTTTTATTCCTACCTTTGGCACTACATGTTAGAGGTGACAGTTGTATAGCACTTTTATCTAAAGAGATTTACAATACATTTCAGATTCACACCCTGACATGGAAAACCAGGAGGCAACCTCGGGTTCGGTGCTTGCCCAAGGA